GTACACATTATCATACCAAGGACTATTTTTCATGTTTAAGTGTACAATTAATTTTTGGAAATTTTTGTAGGCTTAACGTTTTGTATTTATTATGGCGTGTGCTACTGACAAGATTTAAAAGTAGCATATAGATTCAGGTATAAATAGGCGTATCACCTGCAAAAATATCGAATAGCGGAGAGATGGATGGATTTAATGGCGAAGATATGAATGATGCTTGTTAAACACAACATGAAAGACATGAAATGAAGGCAAAGAAGCAGAATACTGAGGATAAAAGTATCACAATACAGAAGATATATGTAAATTTTGTCTTCTTCTTATATCTTATTCCTTAACGTTCCTAGTGGAACACACGGTAGAGGTTTGAAGTTTCGAAAGCAGTTGTGTTTATATTTACGAGATGGGTCTGCTAGCTTCACTCTCAACATTCCGTCTTTGCCAGTCTTAGTAAAGTAAAGAAGTGTACCAGCCGGAGATCGAACCCTGAACTACATGCTTGGTTGGTGAGCATTTCACCGCCCTACTAGTGGCGCAAATTTCTTATATCAATATATGGTGGACGTATTTTGCTCATATCTTTACTTCCAGCTACCTATAAATAATTCCGTCGTCAAATACTCTTACGTTTTGCCAAAAGAATATTAGTTGGGAAACTATAGCTCAAAGATAACCACTGTCAACACGTAGCCATTTTGTCACAGATTCAATCCAAACAAGTACTCAATAGGCATTTGATTCACGGAGGAAACCTACAAAATTCTGTTTTTCACTATCTTACATGGAAAATTATTTTGATGGGTTGTGAATATGAGCAGTGATTTCACGCCACGGAATAAGAATTTACATCGGCTCAATACCTAATGATTAAGCATCGGACCTTGTTGGAATGACATAATAAGGTCTAAAATTGAGGATTTCCCCCGCCCCCCATGGCAATTATCACAAATATAATTCTAAAATACAGTGAACTTCATTGCTACAAACGAGTTCACCACACATTAGTTTTGTTACACATTTATTTGAAATCCCTACTAGTTAATTATTGCACATATCACGTGAATGAGAATTAATGTACTTTCATTGTGATCAAACGATGATGTATTAAATTGATTCCTTTCACTTTCACACGACCTCGTTGATTCTATAAACAAAGCTTCTTTTATCAATCTCTCCCTTCACCCTAGGACATTAGATTTCAAAACTGTTATCTGATTTCATCTATCCTATTGGATGGTTGTGTGTAATTACATGTAGTGCTATAATTGAACTATTCTCTAGATTTGTTATCGTATTCGAGGCAACTAATCTTGATCTTGCCAGGTTTTTATGCAACTGGTGATATGTCTCAAAATCGCTCTCGTTTGGGCAAATGCATTCACATTTTGTAATTTTTCGGATCTGTCGCGGCTCTAACGCGCGTGTAGAAACACTGACCTATCTAGCATTAGTATTAAGATTTATAACTTGTAGCTAGTGCTCAGTGCTGTAAATCGGTATGTGGATTTCAAAGCACTGAATGCCCACCTTCTGTTCCCAGCCCTCGCTGGCTCTGATGGCTTCACAGATGGCAATTGTCGTTGAAACTATGCTGTTCAGATGAGCTATTACTATTAACAATAATAAATTTATCATTAGATATTAATCCTACTCATCAGTAGTAAAAAAGGTCTAAAAGTTTCAAATATTCACACACTTCAAATGGAAACAAATAAGTACAAAAAGTAAGATATTGTTGACTCCGTAAATTAAAAGAACTTACCTATTCATAAGACTCTTGTTGATTATCAATTATGGTTGAACCAGTTTTAAGTGACTACATATACCAGTGCCTTCTTTCATCCTTGAATGCAGTCACGAAACCATAAAGGTGTCATACAAACAGGAAGCAGTTATTTCTACTTCACCTGTGATCATTCTATCACTCTCTCTACTGTTTGACATACTTATCTAATTTCTTTAGGGACTGGTCATTTTAGGGTGAGATCTTTATGTTCACGTATTTGCGAAATAATTCCAAGGAACTCCCATAAACATAAAAATGACATGAAACGAAATTGTCCGAAGTTTAGGAAAAACTGCTTCCATCTCAGCTTTGGGAAAGTACAATCCTGAATTACATGTAAGCCATTTCTATATCAACGTATACGCCTTCAATCTTTACAGGATGATCTAGGAAACCTGTGTAGAGGAACACTGGAAGTGTTTGTCTAGTTATAGTAGGAAAAGAGACGATGAAAGAAATGGAGAGGATCCAAATGAACAGACTGAAGTCAGTAGAAGTGGAAATGATGGTGATGTGGAAGACGAAGCAGTACAAAATTGAACTGTGAAAACACATTCTGAGTACAGTCTCTAGAGTACTGAGAGAAGGGCTGACGAATAGACACTATTTCTACACACTAGATTAGTTTTCATAATCATCGAATACAGCATAGATTGGCAGTTAAACCTCTCAACTGCATACATTTTGTATATGCCCTTGACAGTGTTCACCGTGAAGTAATTTCGGAACTGATTCAACACTATGGAGTACCCCTAACCTTTATCAACCTAAATGAATAGCAAGCTATATAACAGTGTCACACGTAATGTCATCAGCAACGGAAAATTGAGTGAACCCTGTGAAGGTAACACTGTGGTAAAACACTCTTGATAGGGGTAGTCTGGTTCTGGCAACAGACAGAGGAGATCAAGAAGGCAAACATAGGCTAGATTGGAAAAATCACCCTGAAAGATTCTGGCTTGTCAAACTGCTTATTTCTCGTCTCTCATAAGTTCGAAAATGATTATGCAAAATTCAAAAAGTTGGAAGTAGAGACAGAGGAGATAGGAATTCAGATGAACACTGAAGTAAGACAAATGATAAGAACAACCCACTAAAAAACAACAACCAGAGCCTGAAACATGAATTCAGCTATTCTTGGAACGGATGGTGATGTCAAGGCCAACTAGAATAGGGTGAGCAAGACAGGCATTCGTTACTCGAAAACCAGTGAGGCGATTAACAACAGTCATGTAGTGGTTGAGTCTTATCATTTGTTAATTATTTCTAATCTTCCTTCTTACTAATTCATTTGTGTTTATCTTCTTACTACTTATTACTAGTAGGTAGTAACTTTTTGTTTACCTGTTTCGTTACTCCATGGCCATAGTTGCTGATTTCTACTTGAATGGATTCTATTTAGTGTATCAACTTCCTCTATGGTCTGGTTTAGTTATCTTCTCATGGGTAGACGATATCTGCTGCATATCTTTGTTTCTTTATGTTCAACTCTCTCTTCACTACTGATTATTCAAATCTCTTTATCCTTGATCAGTCATTTCAGATGTTGTTTATTTCCGACTACTGGTCAAAGCTTTTCTGGCTAATTGTAACTGGTGTCCACAGAAAAAGCGCGTGTTAGGCACAGGGAAATATCTGACCTACAGTTAGCTTCGTGCTATAGAGATTTATTGGTGAAAATTAAATGAATCTTCAACATCTGGTTTGCAGCTAAGTTCGATCACCGGGTGACATCCTTAGCATTGTGAATAGCGAATCGATGAAAGTTAGAATTCATCACCTATAGGATTGCATCTTAATGGCTGAATAGTCATCATGCTCACCATCTGACTTTACAGCCATTGGTGTATACTGATTAGGACGAAAGAAGCCTACAGCAATCTTTGGTTTCTATTGGTTCTCTGACTGACATCAGTCCGTGAATAAAAATTGAATCTCAGCGGGTGCGTACTTCCGATGACTCCCAAACCAGGATGAAACAGCAGCTGTCCAGTACTCCCTGGTTTTCAATGGTTCTCTAACTGATATCAATCCGTGATCAACTCGTAAAAAAATAAACTTAAAACCAATAAAGTGAGTAAAAAGCAACTCTTGAAAAATTCATTTCTTCTTATTTGGTGAATTTTCTACTAATCCGTTTTCACTTGCGTGCAGAACAAACGTGGTATAATAGGGTAAAGTGAATCAGTTTAACGTAACGCTGTGTTATCTCAATAACATTAGGAAATCCTCATTTCTTTGAGGAATGTAGCAGTTTCCTGAATCTATTCCAGATAAATGAACTACTGTATTCTGAACTTGTTTGTGGACTGTCCTGTCTTGGGATAAATTCATGAGTAATCGCCATGTAGACATTAATGCGAATAAACCAAGTAGTTCGGCGAAGTGATTCTTGTCTGAGAACTCATTTTCTTCAGCTCTTCACTTCACCAGCAACAATCCTATAACACATAAAAGGAATTGTATACAAACACTATTCTAGAGGGCCAGAACTCATCGCAGCACTTCCACCCTAAAGAAAATCGAACTCACTGCGAGACTCTTCAAACTTTTAGGAATTGACGTCGCACACAAACCAACACAATCACTTCACTCAGCTACTCTATGTCAACCAAAAGACTCAACAGCGAAAGAAACCAGCGAAAGCCAACATCATCTACAAAATAAATTGCAACGACTGTGAAAATCACTACATTGGCCAAAGTGAATCTCCCCTTCATCTTAGTATCCATAGACATAAACTAGCCGTCAAAAGACATGACATCCACTCCTTCATATCGCTGTGACTCGCTTTACTTTAGAACGAAAAGACTTAATTCAGCACATAGTGGAAATTTTTTCAGCCTAATTCAAGCCTTCGCAGACCGTATTCAGCACCTACTCGCTTTACCTTAGAACGAAAAGATTTCTACTTATTATCAGCACCTGTGTCCTACGCCCGTGCAATTCAGAAAGAAATCAGTTTTTACAATTAAGAGACTTTTGTATTGATAAACTGTAGTACAATGTCACTGCAATCCCGTCAATTGCGATCCACTGGTAGCATCCTTCAAATAAGCAAAATAAAATATTAGTGGGTGAAAAATTGTGCTGAGCACATTCTGAGCATTTACATTTATGAAAGTTTACTTACATAAGTGCCACTGTTATATCCCCCGGTATCTTTTTCATTTGCCTAAAAATTAAAACAACGTTGTGATTACTACATGTTGAATAAACGTTCACTTATAAAAGTAAGTAGGCGTTTCGCAATATTACCTTAATTCCTTGCTTCCGCTTACGTCTTTGGACACGATCTTTCAAATTATGAAAGTACGATTTCGTGGCCCTATCCATCATGTAACCAATCTCTCTCGTCGTCATTAGTTGGCCGGAGAAGTGCGACATAATTAAAGCTAGAGAACTAATTACTTCATTAATGAAACTTACATCTCATTATTTTATAAAAGGCATAAGGCACAATGCTTGACTTTGTCAAAGTCCCCTGGAATGTAAACTTCAAACCCACTTCAGGTTTTATAACATGGTGCATCATGACCTTAAGTGATAACTTTGGATCACTCTGAAGGCAGCTAGCCATCTTAGCAGTCTACAAGAAATAAGAATTAAATATGTCAACTCACATATTGCTGTTTGTACTTTTCGTCTCTTAAAGATGCTTCCAGCATCTCTAACTGGTCTTCATTCTCGAGCGGAAACTCCAGTGTTAAGTCACCGTTTGCTGGAGGGTAGGTTTGCTGTCGAGATTTTTTGTCAGTAGTCATAATGTTCAATATTTTCGTGCACAGGTTAATGATTTCCATATTTGTATCTTTAAATAAATAACTATTTTTAGGTAATTACCGAGTAATTTCTTATTTGTGGATTCAGTAGCATCTTCGTTAGACGGCAATCTAAAGCATAAATAAAAATTGTAACAATTTTTTCCTACCGGTCACACACATAGGACTTTTTGCCAATAGGAGATGAATGAAATATGGGAGCACTGGAAGTACTGAAAATGAAGGGCTTTCAAATAGGTTAAAAGCTTGGATTTGGGGCCACGAAGTCATCCAATATATTATACTCTGAATATTGTGGTTTTATGCAACCAACCTCACTGGCGGCTACATCAATATCCATAGAGTTGTAAAGGAAATTCTTCTCAGTTTTCTTGGCATCCCTGAAAAATGTGTTACACAGGTAACGGTACCTACCTTTTAGGTCTATTACTAGGCATTGGCAACGTATCATCGTCCATGCCTACCTTCTTGGTGTCTTGATCATTGTTTGTCAAAAGCTCCACACCCTTTTTACAATTCTCATACGTATCTAGAAGGGTGATAATGAAATATGCCAACTTACCAAATTCTGACCAGCTCTTTTTGTGTCATCTTTTCAGGAACAACCTGAAGTTCTATTGAAATTAATTATTACATAATAATAAATGTTACGATTCTCTTCAGTTTGTCAAACAACAGCGACGGTCTCACTAGTACTAGGTAAACCCACTGTTCCCTGGACAGTTGAACTTGAAGGCAAAGTTACTGTATTATCCCTTGCCACCTCTTCTCTGGATGAGCAGTAACGTTTCCAGAAGTCCCAGTCACTGAATGCTGCATCACGTAACCGTTTTTGACGGCGATAAAATGTTGAGTAGCTGTATCCAGAGCATTCATGCAGTCTGCCAGAAGATATTCTTCTCTTACGACTTGTTGCAGAATGTTGAATACCCGTATTTAACACATTATCTGAGTTGTTTTCCTTATAATAGAAATGGACAAATATGCACCCAAAATCTAACTCACCTGCATGATTTATAAATCCTGTAAGAATGGTCTTTGTATGTGAGGAGTACTGCTTATATACTTCTAGGCAAATATCAGTCTGTTAAATATGAAAAGGGATGACATGTAAACTGTAATCACAGTCCACCAATTAAATTGTAATCACAATTGTTAACATTTTCCTTACAGCAAGTATATGTTTTCATATGTGAATCAACACAATCTGTCACAGAACATATGTTATGTATTCACACCATTATTATTATATAATAATAATGGTATGAAATGCAAATAAAATATCTGTAATTCTAATCATAGTTAAATATAAAGTAGCAAGACAATCAGTGTCAGATATAGAATAATACCTGAGGTGTATAGATGTTGGAAAGGGGTGCAAAATTGTAGGATTAGTAGGTGGATATAAAATGCTACATAACATGGTGTGAAATTTGGTAAGATAGAATTCAATATGGCCCAAAAATTTTTTACATTAATAATTTTGACTTATGATGTACGATGTAAAATGAAAAAAATTTATAAACCAGACATGTCTGGTTTATAAATTTTTTTCATTTTTGACCTCGTCTCAAATTCCCTTACATTCCACTAACGAAAAATATATTATTCATAATATATTTTTCGTATGAATTCATGCGACCAATTCACCTTCCCCTACCTCCCTGTTGAATAATGTTTTCGTTGTATTCTTATTTACTGTCACACCTCTGGTCAAATAGATCAATCACACCATATGTAATTCGCAGACAAGTCTGTAGCCGTTACACTACGTAATCTGTGTGAAACCTACTCTTTGCTGATTGGTTGGTTTCAATATACTATGTACATGTGGAGTACTATATTTCAGTATTAACCGCAGCAGTTAAGCATGCAGTGCTAATTTTCAGCACTAAAGGCATTATTTCAGATGATGATCTTATTTTTAAGATTTTGTTGCATTAATTAAGCACCCAGCTCTTTTTTTAAGCACGACCAGCGTTATTTCAGAACATAGTGGGTAGATGAAATGGCTATTTACCATAAAAAAGCATTATCACAGAATAGGTTAGAATAAGTTTAGAATTGCTGTAAGCTGAAGATTTTATCTCTTACATGTAAGAGATAAAATCTTCAGACTTTATACTTCTTTGATTAAGTTACCCAGTAGTATTCTCCTTGTTACTGGATTTAATGCTTCTCACATCTGTGAAATTTATAAGCATGTTAACATGTTCCCTTAAGCTAAAAAATATAATGTTTATCCGCTTTTATTATTGCTATTTCAAAGCCCGCCTCAGTAACGTACAGCACGTATTAGCCGCAACGTTTACGCAAAGGGAAATGTACCAATCACAGTGTGCGTAAGTGACCTTCAAGTGCTCAGCCTCTCCAAAAAGCAATTTGTGCCGCTATCCTCCATCGCCAAAGTGAGTTTAGTCGTTTCTTCGGTCAGTTGGCCTGTATTCATAAATGTAATGACTGCGTTAAACTGTTGCGTTTTTCGGTAGATTGTTCAAGTTTTATTTTGTAAATAAATATTCCAGTCTAACTTTGATAGTTTTACTCTTGAATATATAGGGGTAATGTTTCCATTTGTACTTTGTAGAAGCCATGTGGATACCTCCAGTTTGTGATAACCCTCCACCTCTTAATATTGAAGATGAGCTGCTTCCTTCAACACTTGGGACCAAAATGCCTACTGTCTCTGCCTCCAGTAGTTCAAGTAGTGACAATCAAGAGAACTCACAATATCAGGCAGCGAATACTAGAATCAGATCTCAATTCTATCCTGTTCCGGTAATCAGTAGTTTATTTGTTTTTTGTTTGTTCTATTGTGAGCGTGTTGCTGAGATTGACCTTTCGCGAGTTGATATGTGTAAAATGATTTAATGATTCAATTCAGTTAGGTGACTTGATTCCCAGTTGAGTCGTCTGTATGGAGAAGTATTACTTTCAAGTGGGTACTCAGCGTTTCATATATGTCTCTGAAAATGTAGGCATGTTTGTTTCAGACGGAAGGACTAGTTCGTCAACGTATCTACTATTAGGTAGTCTTATGGATACCAAGTAACTGTTGTGTAGATTAAATTGCACGATTATCCGTGTGGTCTAGAGTTGACGGGATTCATAAAATTCACTGTAGAAAATTTGGAAGTGAAGGCGTTCACTTGGTAGATTAAGAATCTGGATTAACGATCGTATTGATCAGCTATATGAAAACGTAGATTTCGTCATGAGTTTGGAGAGTGGTACGTGATCATGACTATATTTTCGATGGGAATTCATGTAGAAGGCTTCTGACCATTGTTTTGCCGCCCAAGATGATTGAGACTTTGTGTTCAGTGATTTCATCACTCTAACTGCCATGCCATATTTTCAAGAAAGGATTTGATAGCGGTTGTGGTATTTAGGTTATGGAGGACCGAATACTCACCTCCTGAAGTACTTAGTGTTTATAGGCATTGTAGAAAGTCGGTCTTTGATTGTGAATATTTGGTTTCAGTTTTATCCAGGTGAATTAAATGTTTTTGACCACTCTGATTTCTAGCGTGCCAGATGCTTGTCGTCTCCATATCAAGTCTTACCGTCTTGCGGAACAACAGTGTATTTGTATACGTGGACTGTTCCTGCACCTGATGTCGTTGCCGACCTTTGCTGTGTGGCGAAGACTTGTTTTGCAAAGGCAGACGGAGCTATTGGGCTTTTGTTTTCGAAACCGATTTCCAAGGTGATTCTAAGCATTTTTTATGAACAGTTATCTCTGAGTGAATACTTTGTTTTGTCTCGTTTCCCTGTGAGGTGTTATTTCACATATGTGTTTGAGTGGGGACCTCTTTTATCCTTGTGGACCCGAATCTTCACTACAGGATGCAGCGTTGAATGTGTTGTTTGATATCACCAGGACTGTATTAAATTAGAATAGTGAAAGTAATAACTTTCTTGATCTGAGAAGTCAGTGAATTACAAAGAGGAATGAGACGACGTCATTACACCTTGATTAGTACTTCTGTTGAGTAGTGATGGAGAAACCTCACTGTGATAGTTATCTAATTTCACTGACAACTAGCTAGCTGGCTGAGTCCACTAAATCATGTATTCTCGTTGACGACAACATGAAAGAGGTAATTGACTAATGGTTGGCACTGTAAAGAGTCACTTTCAAACGTACCCTGATGAATAAGCCTAATGACCCTAGTCAATATGTAAGGGTGACCACTCCAACTGAATTTGAGTCTTCATCTTGTTTGGAAGGACACTGGCACAATGGTGGACAATTCTGCCAAGCTCGACTTTCCACGGCTGATATACTTTTGCTCACTTGAGTCTTCTTTTGTTGTGTCTGCACCGTGTGCCATTGGATTTTGGTGTCAAATGCATACACTTATCTATTGGAATATGTGGATAAACACTTCTTCGAAACGTGTTTTGTTAAGCCAATGTTATCTGACAAATATGTGCATTAAGCTGGGAGAGGTAATGTCTCAAAATTATCCTAAGATCATTTTCCTACTTTTCCGATCTTGAGTTTCAATAATTCGCGGTTAATACACTTATTATGCATTCTGGGATTGTGTCCTATCGCTTTCCGCACACAGATATTACTCAAGATTCTGAGGTTGTGGAGCATCTCCATTTGCTTCCACAGGGTTGACATGTTAGATATTAGTTATTGATTATGGCTCATAACATAGTACATGGAGAAAATTGTGCACAAGGCAAGTCAGTTACCAGCTTTACGAAGTAGGGTAGTTAGTTTTACTTGAGTGTGGAGTGTTTGGATACATTTGTAACCTCCTGCACATTGTTGACTTCATATGATTTGACACAGTCTGAAATTATAGCCAGAATTACTAAGTAAGAAAGCTAGAGTATCTTTGGTGTTCTTTTCTTTTTGTAAACAGAAAGAATATGTTTGTCGAATTCCCCTGTATTTGACACGTGGTATGGCTCGTTCGCGTGTCCGATTGGTTGGGAAGCTTACACTTAGTCAACGGGAATTGGACAGCATAAAGTCAGCTCACTCAGTGATATGTGAACTGATTACAAATATAGCCCATTTGTCACATGTTGGTCACAAACCATCGAGTCAAGCTCTTTGCGATCTTATGGAGAAAGAGAAACATTCAAATGAAATTCCTGAAAGTGTTCGTGTTACAGTTACCGACCGATTTACTGATATGTTGTTCAGTCCTGAGAAAGCTAATATTCTGGCATTGATGACGTTAATTCAGTTACCAGGTGAGCTTTATAGTCCTCGTTTTCTCTCTCTCTCTCCGTTAAATGAGCTTTTTAAAAGAAACGATGAATTCAGTCAGCATTTGACAGACTGAGAATATTTACTTTTCAATTAGATCCTCACCACTGGCTATAATATGTATTATACATGTATGCATACCGACTGCATCCAACCATCTAAATAGCTAATTCTCGTAGTTTATTTCCTGACCGAAGTAAAAATTTTATTATTGAATTGAATTTTTGATTTTCCTGTCGAATGATTAGACCGAAGTGCTCGGTCTCAGGTCGACATGTTGGCTTCTTGTGCAGATGCCTTGACGATGTCTGGGCACTTAATTAGTATACACTTGGTGGATGGTGGCTAGCAATGGAATCCAGGATGCGCATTTCGTCCTATTTGGTACTCGTCAGCTGGATATACCTGCCTTTCTCAATGGGAACATGATCACTCACTCAGAAAGGCAGGTACATCCAGCTGACGAGTCCCAAATAGGACGAAATGCGCATCCTGGATTCCACTGCTAGCCACCATCCACCAATTGTATAAAGATTTTATTCCCTGTGTTGTTGAGTTTATGTGTGTGTACACTGGAGTGATATAGGCAATATAGGTAAGTGAGGGTGAAGTTGATCAATCGGTGGGTCTTTGTCAATGGAATCTATGCCTAGCAAAACACAACACACGAAATAAGAATAACGCAACGCCAATATCATAGATGTGGGAAATATTACTACCAATAAAATCAAAGGATATGAAATAATGGAATCATACGGAGAATGTTTGATAGTTATGTGAGCATCGTAATGATTGTGAGCAATAAATTGTGGTCGCAACGTCATCAGAAAATAATACTGCATCACTGTGTGCGCTTTCATGAAATAAATTTATTCTATGATGTGATTAACGGTCTTATTTGTAGTACATTTACTCTGTCCCACCCTACTGTGTGTACTTAACTGAGCGTGACCAAGGATTCTAGACCTAGCGGGATTTCTGTGTTTTGATAACATAACTAGCCCTTATCTACTGGTTAGTTGCATTTCGGTTAATTTTAAGTCAACCAGGGAATAATCTCGTTGACTTAGAATATGCAGACGATATAGTCCTTCTAGGCGAGGACTCTGACAAAATGCAGAGTCTTCTAAACACCTTGAGCTGCGATCTACGAATGTTTGGCATGCGTTCGCTCCCGCCAAATGCAAGATGATGTTACAGGACTGGACTACAGCGACGCCTAGTTTAAAAATAGGAAGTGAAGTGGTAGAGCACGTTGACCGCTTCACTTATTTGGGAAGTATCATCAGCCAACGCCAACGGGTTGATCTCTGACGAAATCTCAGAATGGATACAGGGGGCTCGTTTCGCATTTGCCAGTTTACGCCGCCTCTGGCGTAGACGAGATGTTCGACTATCGATCAAAGGGCGGGTGTATTGCTCATCAGCCCGCTCCATCCTCCTTTATGGCTGTGAGACCTGGCCACTGAGAGTGGAAGACATGAAAAGATTAGCTGTCTTTGATCATAGGTGCCTGCGTTCTATCTCCCGTGTGAAGCGGTATAGTAAGATGAGCAATATTGAGGTTAGGTCTCCGTCGTGTGCTAGGTAAACAGGGGAAATCAATAGACGAATTTGTGAACTTACAAAGACTGAGATGGTTAGGACATGTGTTACGTATGCCAAGTCATCGCCTTCCTCGACGAGCAATGTTAGCGGATATAGGGTCAGACTGGAAAAAAGCTAGCGGCGGTCAAATAAAAACTTGGCTCCAGTCAATGAAATCTACAATAGCTAGTCTAAGCCACGTAGGAAGGTGTAGACTTCCAGACTGGGGCCCTCGGAGAGGTAAAAATCAGTGGTTGGAAACAATTGGTAACATGGCTCAAACTCATCGTTCTCAGTGGCGCAGATGCATCCACTCCTTGTGACTTGTGTTTTCCAATGAAACTATTTTGTTCTTCGTTATTACTCCTCCTTAGTCTCACACCTCTGCTTACTGTCTCTATTATGCTTTTCTTGTACTTTCTTCTCTTGCTTTGTGTGTGAGTGTGTCGCACATATGTGCAAAGTTCTATGTCGCAAACAGACGGACAGATTTCGCTTAATTGGGTCTATTGAGTCTTGAAGGTGACAAAGTTTTTCTGTGAGTAAATGGGTTGGTTTAAATGTCCCTCTAGTTTCAGTGCTATTAAGACTCCTATGTATGTCTTCTGATGTTCCTTCCGTACTAGGTAGTGCTGTCGATGTTTTGAATTCATTGTCACGTATGTTGTCATTATATATGTCACGCACTTGAATAAAACCTGGTGGGTATTTGTTCACTGGTGTTGTTTTCTTGATTTTTCTATTTCATCACTTTAATCATCTGACGTACTAGTTAGCCTCCTAACTGAAGTACATGCATATTCGATTGAACCCACGTCTAGTCATTTCGGAAGGGATAATTGAAGCTCTAGGTAGATCTTTTGCTATTTGAATTCCCCCTGGCTTCAACTTCATTTCAAATAAGTTAATCAGCCTGCAGTCTGACCGATATCTAATCGGGCATGATATAGATGCCAAATATTTGGATAGTTCACATGTTGGAGTGTTCCTAAAGTCGACTATTGGCCTAACAGATTATCCTGTCCCATGAATTTTGACAGTAATGCTGTGTATTCTACTAGGAATAGTAGTCTTAGTCACTAAGTTAAACCATGTCAACTCACCCAGAGGTGACTTCATTCGATGTATTAGACCAGCTGTTGGAGTTCTGTTCCTTATTATTGATAAGCGTGTCTGTGGGTTTCATAATCTCCACATACGGATGCATTTGAATTTGTTGATTGACTTTCTTAATTTAATCTGTTTTGTCCATAGCCTCTGTTGAATTAATGTTGTATGCTTTGGCAATTACTATGCTTCTGTCGTTATTTTAGCGTTTTCAAGCTGACATTTTTGGTTTTGATAAGTTTTGTTTGTCGTTTTTGGTGTTTCAGTGTGTTGAAATAGATTGTGTGCTTGAACTTGTATATCGTTTGTCTAATCTATGGCGCTTATTGTTACTTGTGTGTGAGAAATGAGATCTTTGGGCTTTAATGTGTGAATGGCTGTATTGAAGTTGAGATGTTTTTGAGGCGCTTATATTTCTACTGAGCGCAGTGTTGTGGTTGTGAAGTTAAACATGCAAGGTTTTGTTTCGGTGTCCTGCTTGAATGAAGTATGTTAAGCAACTGACTTCGATTATTTCTTATATTCGTGATTAGTAAATGAGGCCTGAAGAGCTGTGAATTTCAAAGCAGTGCATAGTAAGAATGAGTGGAGTGGTGATGCTTTTGCCGAGAATCTTAAGATTGGCTTAGGCGGATAGCTGAGAAAGGCACTCTTTTCGACTGACCTACGGATGAACTTCTACAGTCAGGAGATGCCTAGTAGTGTTTTTGATTTTCTAGTGATGTGACGGTTTGTTGATTGATTTTATGCTGAGAAGTTTGATTTGATATGTAGTTCGAAGTGTATCTTGAAAAAAACTACACTTGCTACCCAGTCAACTGGAGTAGGAGCATAGGGTTTATACGTTCGGTGTGTAGCGATGCCTAGAATTTAAAGGTATGAAAGCAGATGGTTGTTGTTCTGTCTGTCTGTTTTCGACATAGAACTTTGCACTGATGTGCGGTAGTTCAAGTCGTCACACGTTGTTCATAGTTGGTTGTGATGTTGACAGAGATATTCAGACAATTCATTTCTTCTGACTGTCCGTATACTGCAAGTTGTTGTTTTTCGATTGTATGTGAAGTGAAAAACCTATTGAGTTAACGTGTTTGTAGCATCATGAAGATTTCTGATGGGATTGTTTGAATGTGGTGTGCATTAAAATATCACGATTCGTGTTCTGTCCTTGTGGAGGACTTCACCTCAACTGTTCAGTTCGCCATGTATGAAATGGAGGATAAAATGTCTAAAATAAGTTAAGTGTTGCTTGTCCAATAGAACCGCTCACAGTTGTTAGATTCTTTTCTCCAGCAGTCGAAGAAGTAGTCAAGTCTATAATGACATTTAATCTATAATGTCATTTATCGCTCGCTATCCAACCGACCTATGTAGACTGACAGTATTTTCAGAAGCATTCATTCGTCGTAGTCACTGTCACTCAGCGATCAGGATAGTATGCAAGCCTCACCGTAGCATTGAAGTGGTTGGCAGCTATCAGTCGGACTTTTATAAAATGATATTGACAGTGTAGATGAAATATGCAATATGAGCTGCACACATCATATTCATGTAAATGGCGTAGAAATATTGCATGCGTGTTTGAATTCTGTGGTCTGCAATAAACCTGTCCATACATTTAAACTAGTTTGAGTGATTATCTTCAATAAGATTATTAACTCCAAAAACTACCGATAACAAAACTTATCATTGTGTGTAAACTATTTGATATGTATCCACATATATATATTTATGTGTGTGTGTATGTTGGTCTCTCTTTCTGTTTGCTCGGTTAGTCTGTGACCACTTCACTTGTATGGACTTGTCTCCTTTAATAATGTGTATTCTCCTTATATTATATTATATATAATATGAGTGTTTGTTGACAGTCCGTTGCTTGGTGACATATATCCATATATGTTTGTTGGCATGTCTGCTATATTCGCTATGTATAATTGGATCGACACTCCATTATAATTAGCCATTCATGTTAAGACTGTCTAATGATTTTTCCCACGCTTGTCTGAATTATTTATATATATTCGCATTCACAATTTGTGTGAACTACTTTACAACTACTTTACTTACTTACCACTTTGGTGTGAGACCATTTATTTTCGTCTCCTTGTGTTTGGACAATAGAAGTATCATCGCAAACCTAGTGGTCTTCTGATTTCCGCCTTCTCGCGTCAGGACTATTAGTTTCTCGACCAGTCCATAACAATAATTCAGCGACGAGTACATAACAATAAAACTACTATTAACCACACAGCAGCAACAACATAACAATTTACTATGGATCCTATTAAATTGGAATTATTGTTTGAACGACAAATGAAATTAATGGAAATGTTCGTCAACCAACAGACTGGTCCAGCTCCACCTTCAAGCAATCCCAATCATACCATGCTACCATCTGTCGACGGAATTGTGAACAGATTTCACAGTTCAATTATGACCCAGAGGCTAATGTCACTTTTGACACATGGTATCAACGTTATGAGGATTTATTCACTGTTGATCTCGCCTCACAAGACGATGCCTGGAAGGTGCGAGTTGTACGTAAATTGGGTCCGGCAGAATATGAACGGTACTGCAACCTAATTTTACCACAGAAACCACGTGACAATTGTTTCGATGATACAATAAAGTTGCTGCGTGAACATTTCGGAGACCACTCCTCATTATTCAGTATACGTTATCGTTGCCTCAAGCTGGCAATGAATGAAAATGATGATTTTCTTACTCACGTTGGCACAGTCAACCGAGAATGTGAGAGATTTCGACTCAGGTCCTTAACAGATGATCAGTTCAAAGCCTTGATCTCATATGCAGTCTCCAATCTCCTCGTTTCACAGATATCCGAACTCGACTGCTCAATCAGCTAGAACAAAATCCCAAGTTAACATTACATGACATAGCTGATGAATATCAACGGCTGATTAATCTGCAGAAAGACACACACTGGTCGAATCAACACCTCCGAGAAGCTCTGATATTCGTGCATTACGAAGAGCAAAAATCTCTCATCAGCTACTCCTGACCCACCTTCTCTAATGTTCCGCGGAAATCTACACATACTCGTCCAACTTCACAAAATACTGCAAAGAAGACCCCACCATCACCATGCTGGCATTGTGGCGCGTGGCACTTTGTAAAGTCTTGCCCATACAAAAATCATCGTTGCAGCAAGTGCAAATCATCGGTCATAAAAATGTTTTGTCAGCCACGCAACCAGATATCATAATCCAGCAAAAGCTCAACAAAATGTCGGTCCTAAATCTCCAAAAAGATCACTGAGTCTACGTGCAACCTGTCAAGTCACAACACCAGCTATGCGGAAATATATTGACCTTCAGATGAATGGTCATGATCGTCTGCAGCTAGATACGCCTCTGATATTACTGTTATATCAGAGAAACTTTGGAATTATATTGGCAGACCACCTATCACCAATACTTCCCAGTCTCTTCAGCGCCTGTGGTGGGCGGCTCAAACATTGGTGAACTCAAATGTTGTTTCCTTCCGCAATACCAAATTCACAGGAATTTGTTACGTAAAGAATGATTTAAATTTTTGGGACTTGATTGGTTCGATCGTTTGCATCTGGCTGATGTCCCACTAAATTCTCTACGCAATACAGTGAAGAAGCATAAAATGCTAGACAATTCCGGACGGAGCCGAAGCCGCAAACCCAACAATCAGACGAAACGACAGGCGTCAACAACAAGCCCAAAGGTCCCAGATAAACCCCCAGGTAAACATCCTACTAATCATCATCTTCTCAAAAGGGAGGTGATATGTATCCACATATATATATTTATGTGTGTGTGTATGTTGGTCTCTCTTTCTGTTTGCTCGGTTAGTCTGTGACCACTTCACTTGTATGGACTTGTCTCCTTTAATAATGTGTATTCTCCTTATATTATATTATATATAATATGAGTGTTTGTTGACAGTCCGTTGCTTGGTGACATATATCCATATATGTTTGTTGGCATGTCTGCTATATTCGCTATGTATAATTGGATCGACACTCCATTATAATTAGCCATTCATGTTAAGACTGTCTAATGATTTTTCCCACGCTTGTCTGAATTATTTATATATATTCGCATTCACAATTTGTGTGAACTACTTTACAACTACTTTACTTACTTACCACTTTGGTGTGAGACCATTTATTTTCGTCTCCTTGTGTTTGGACAATAGAAGTATCATCGCAAACCTAGTGGTCTTCTGATTTCCGCCTTCTCGCGTCAGGACTATTAGTTTCTCGACCAGTCCATAACAATAATTCAGCGACGAGTACATAACACTATTGAAATATAATTATACTTTATTCCAACGAGAATGTTTTGTTGATGACTTTACCTTATAAGTAGTCCACGACTGAGGTGGACATCGTCACTGATACACCCTTGAAATGATCAGACTATGCTCGCCATTCTGGTGAAATTCATTGAAATGTGTCATGCAAGTTTTATATATGACGGATATCATCATCACCAGTAGTAGTGATAATCATACTAATTTTCTCTCCTGTTTGTTTGTAGTTTCATGAGCTATTCAATCACATCTGTTAACAAACACCTACTGATAGTGTATGTTGAAAATAGATTTTCAAGTATTGGTTTTTGTCGGGATTTCGTTTGATTGCATGGAGGATTTCATCGTGAGCTGACACCAGTTAGAGAACCTCTGGAAAACCTGGGAGTACTGTGCAGGTGTTTCGTCCTAGTTCGGGACTCTTCATCACTACGCACCCACCGGTGTTCGAGGCCAGGACCTTCTGGTTACAAGGTGAACACGTTTACCATTGAGCCACTGGGACCCGATCCAATGGTCCTTGAATTCTAACTTCTGCCAATTCACGACATAGCGCGTCCATTTCGCAATGTCTTCTTCGATGAGTTACTACCTCATCTTCAGCCTGCTGCACCCTACTGGTCGCGACTTCCCACTAGAGCCCAAGGTTAACTGTCTGAATAGGGCTGGTAGGTGCGTACTGATGAAGAGTTCAAAGCTAGGACGAAACAGCTGTCCAGTACTCCCAGGTTTTCCAGTGGTTCTCTAACTGATATCAGCTCATGATGAAATCCTCCATGAAAATAGATCTAACAATATGCCAGATGAATGTTTCTGATGGTTGTTTATGTGAGTGGACTCTTTTTCACTGCTTTGTATGCTCATCAATTGGTATGTGGAGAATAACCACTGATAGCACTTGTGATACCCTAATGACCAGTCGATAGGTCCGTTATGGCTAATTATAAAGTGAATCATCGAGCGAATTGGCTCATTGGTTTCATCTCTGTGACTGCATTAGTGTGATGCGGCTTGGAGTCGTCTGTGAAGAGAATCACTGCCTAGTTGAAGACACACTTTGGTAACGAGTGCCAATAAGAACAGAAGGTAGATCAACAGTTTAATGTTGATTACCTCCAACGAGCTTTGAGATCCCTGTATATATGTATGCATGTCAGGTGTCCTTCGCAGTGGAAGTTAGTTGCTTGTACAAGGTGTTTTTATATAGATTAGATTAGAATTCGTAGATGCTACGTGAGGCGGAAATGGCTTTACTAGAGACCTGAGTTAAATCTAGATCATTTGTAATACGAATTTTCAATAATGATTTTAGAAGTAATTCCAGGATGTCTATCGTATTATGCTGATGCTTGATTTTTGTCTTTTACATTTTCATTCTTTTAGCGTGTACTATAGATCATAAAGCCATTGAGAGTCTATTGAATTGGTCAATTTGTCATAAGAATTCATTCTCTTCGGACATTGAAGACAACACTAGTGGATCAGTGAAGATCAAACCAGTCCGTGGTATTTTGCCCAGTTGGCATGTCAGGCTGAATCAAATACCTGCAGAAGATTGGGTTGGTTTAGTAGTCAGGCCTATCCACCTTCAAGATAGCGATCCTAGTATGTTTTTGATTTCAGAAGTTTGTTCAGAAACTCCTGTAAGTTGTGTTCCGCAGTATTTGGCTTCGAAAGTTTGTAACGCAGAAAATGTTGAAGAAGTATCAGTAATGACCTATTTCGATTTCTACAAAATGAAGTGTCCGCTGACGAGAGGTCTAGCCATTGATATTTCAATGCCATTGTGCAAGGCGTCACGACTCACGCGCCATCAAAGTTGCACCCAAGTTACTGCTGGCCTGCGAAGGAGTGAGTCACTTCCAAGACAGTCAGTGTTTGTGTGTGAAGGGTGTTTAGTACACCCATTATCTTCGTGGCTTTGGTTTCTGGTGTCCACGATACCTGCAGTTCTTTATCAGATGACGAGAGCATTGTTGGCATCAGAGTTGTTCACAGATTTGGCAGCTGAGTTAAAGAATCCCCAACCATGCTGTCAAAGGACGCACCTATCCAGTATGACAGATGATTCTCTTTCTCCTGTGACCATTTTTGTGCCTGACCGTCTACGTGACGCTGATTTCCCAAACGGCAAAGCGATTAACGCAACTAAACTTGATTTTAAAGTAGATAAACTAACTTCAGAAGAAGATCGGGAGATGGATGATGTGGCTGCAAGTGAATACAAGGGCGTTGCAACTGTTTGTCCTCAACCCAGTGACTTGATTGAGCCAACTACGCTGTTGAGTGCTCGTGATGCAGTGAATCTCGAGCGTTTAGAATTTTATGGTGATTCGTTTCTTCATTTGATATCTACACTGAGTGTTTACGGCACCAGTCCACAGGATGCTGATGAAGGATACTTAACCTGGAAAAGAACTTCACTTATATCAAATGCTCACCTTTGTGATATTGCTCGAGGTCTGGCATGGTATAGATATTGTACTGGTCAAATATTCTCTCCGTCAAAACATTTTGTACCTCCGTGCTACACTGTTTCATCTGAGGTTAGTGGTTGTGGTGGTAATCTTTGTTCGTATTTTCACGTTTGCTCAGAGCATTTCAACTCCTGTATGAATGTATGTATGTATGTATATGTATAGTTGAGAATTCATATGGTAGAGATTGCTAATTTCATGCTGTGTATGGATACCTCCACAGAAAGCGTGCAAGTGATTAGTTCTGATTCTGATTTATCGACTGAGGATAGAAGGCTTGAAGCCTATGTTAATCGTTTGTAGTGAATTTCTGTGGTTTCTTGAATAAATGAATTGAGGGCGCTGACACGACTTTGAACTCAATTGGCATTTCCTCCGAGGTGTTCCGACGTGATCTGGTAGAAGGGAAGAGAGAGTACAGACCGGGTGCGTAGTGATTATTGGAAATTCTGAAGGTTATCATGAGTTGTCTCTGCCTGTAGTGTGACGGGGAGGGAGAAGAGATTCAAAGTGTGTAGTCTTTCGTCATATGGTAAGTTGGTCATGCTAACAATCATACGTATCGCCCTCCTTTGAACTGCTTCTTGAATGTGTGAGTCCTCGTCAAGACAAGGACTGGCGGCCTTGGATACAGTTTTCCAGTGTTGGCCTTACGAGAGATGTGTGTGAAGAAGTGAACGTATCTCTGGTGATTCTAGGAAACGCTGTGCGTATCTATTGCCCATAAAGATGTGAAACTACGAGCTGTCACATAGGAATCTGTTTTCACTTCAGGAATTCATCATCATTATCAGTCGACTGACAAATAGACAACATACACTTGTTTTTTCGTGTACTTTCTTGTATTTTTCTAGAATCATTCGCATTGCTATTTTGTTCACCTCTAGAATGTTTGATGTTTGATTTTCGTCCATGTGTGTGTCCACCTGTCGGGGTGAACAGTTATTTTTCAGATACACCAGCCTGTGGATTACACTCGGTGTGTCGGAATCAGTGATACTATTGCAGTCGTCCAGTATGAAGTCTGTATAAATAAAGATGATTCACCGTTGATTTTCATGGTGATAATCTGGCCAGTAAAATACTTTTTCTGAGTAGTGTATTTCCTCCGATAGCCTTCATAGCTCTCTTTTCACTTCTAGTAAGTGAGTATGAAAGTCGTGTCAATTTATTGTTTGGCTTTTCTACAGGTTTCTGATTGTGATACTCGTTTATATACTCGCCTGTGTGACAAATCCTTAGCAGATATGGTGGAAGCCTTGTTAGCATGTTTTTTGGTGCACATTGGGCTGCCATCGTCTGTAAATCTCTTACACTATCTCCAAATATGTCCAGTGAATTGGGATACAATTAAGTGTGACGAAAAATATAGGATTGATGCTCCATGGCATTGCCTTCTTCACTCAGAAAGTGATATTGCTAGCAGTTCAAATTCCAGACGCCACCTTCTCCGTGTATCATCACAGAATTCACTGACCACTTGCAAATATCAAGATCTCAATGAGAAATATTTTGATTTACAATTGAAATTGGATTATCGCTTTAGAAATATTGAATTACTTGCTACAGCTATGACACACCAGTCATCAACTAACACAGAGTACTGGGGAAATTATCAAAGGTAAGCTGTAGTTCATTCTTGTCTTTCTCTTCCAAAATATGTGTTTCTTTAATGCAAAACATTTGTCAACTTAGATTGAGTGAGGAGTGCACACTTTTGTTTATTTATTTATTGATTAAAACATAAATCCGGCACATTATATATGGGTACGAAGAGGTGCTCCACACAAAATGGGATAGTTTGTGTGGGTTGTGAGATACTGGTCGGCCGTACAGACAGATTGATGCAAGTGGTTGAATGAAAGCGGCCGCCTGTCTCTCCGAGCCTTTGTCTTGAAGTCAGATCCACAAGGCAACCAATGCATGCATTGGAATCAGGGTTTTCCAGCTCCGCTAGGCCAACTCGAATGTCCACCAGTCCCAGTATGACAAGGTGTTCCACATCTTTGATGACAATATTCATATGCAGAGTGACTGTGATGAATTCTTGTCAGTTCGATCTCTCTATTTATCTTAAAGTTTGTCATGGATGACATTCTGGAGTCCTCTGTGAAAGACGTGCGTGTTGACGGTGTAGATTTGCTTCCTGGAGGAAGACTTTTTGACCTCGAGAATGCAGGTGATATCGTCTTATTGTGCGATAGCATGGGAACTGCCCAAATGGCGCTTAATCGGTTGGGGATCAGTGTCTGTAAGTATAGTATGTGCTTTTCGCCATCTGAGTGCAAGGTGCTGTTACAAGATTGGCAGTAGTGTGCACCTGCACTCACTCTATTGGGTGAACCGCTTGAAGTTATCGATAAGTTCGTGTATCTGAGTAGTTGTGTGAGTGCTGGCGAAGGTCTGACAGACGTGATTTCCAATTGTATCATGAATTCCCGGATGGCGTACGTCAAATGACACGGGGCTTGGCGAATTACTGTATGTTGTGTAGATGTTTGACTTTCTTAGAATTTAACCACCAAGGTCGGGTCTACAGTGTATCAGTGCGCTCTGTCTTGTTCTACGCCTTCGAAAACTGGTTATAGGATTAGGCGACAAAATTGAATTTCACAGTATCTAAGTCACGCAGAAGAATTTTAGAAGTCACAAAGACCATCTCATATCAGAAGCAATTCATGTCAAATGAGATGGTATCTATGTGAATTTGATCTGGTTCCAACAAGTACACCTCGGCTACCATGAAGTGAGAGAATCAACATAAATGTGATTGTCGATTTCAGTGTTATGTTGTTATTGCAAATTGTCGTGTTGACACGTCATCAAACCAGCTGTGTTTCAGACAAGTAATTACAAGTGAAATGGAACTTGGCGGTGAATTAATGTATGTTGCGTGGATGTTTGACTTGGAATTTAACCACTCTGAAGATGAATTGTCCTTACGACTCAGCATAAGCCGATACAGCAGTTTTGTAGAGACGCGTAAACACTTGATTCTCAGACGATGGATGACAAGTTCCAATCCCATTTCACCTACTTCAACGCGTTGAAATGTGTAGTAAATGAGCTGAAGAAGCATTGATAAGAAAACATCTAATTTTACACTTAAACAAGGTGTGTGTAGACGTGTAATACACTTGTTTTTAGTGTCTAAATAGTCAGTATGTGTGGTTACTTGGTTACACGTTTATAATAGGCTGTATAGTGTTGATATCAGTTTGTGAGTTTTACTTTATGGACAATGATTGTTGCCAGTTTGTGTAATACTTTGATAGCAGAGAATGTCAGTTATGAGGTTGTGGTTATGCGTTTGTGTTTCGGTTGGGAGTAGGTAGAATGATGGGGCGGTTACACCGAGAGAGATGACTACTACCTTGTAGAGCGATTGGATAAGTTGTTGACTTGAAATAAAATCCAGGGCCTGACAAGTGTCTGTGAGCGAATTTCTTTGTACGTAGACTGTACCTAATTTGTTGTGCTTAAATGAATGAGATAAATTCAGAATTGATGTGTCGTGTGTGCTTGCGTTGGTGAAGTTTTGCCACCGCTGACTTTTCATCTCTTTCCATTGTTTCAAATATTGTTGTTTTGTTTTCATGAAACACTTGTGTCACCTGCCTATTCATCACGGTTGTGTTGTAACGATGATTGTAACAAGATTGGAATTTCTCGGTGATTCGGTTATGGGTTTCATTGTGAGCAATCACCTGTTCAGAAAGTGTCCTCATGCTTCTCCAGGTAAGTGTGTTGAGGTGAAATGATTGTTGTTATGAATTTGCGATTTTTTCTTCTCAAAATGTTGATGTTGGAGTGATGAAAGGGGATAGCCTGAATATTCCGGCCCCTCTCCGTCTGTGTGACATTCGCTGTCACAGAGTAGTGAGAACCGTGAAGTTGTTCCAATAAATACCTCATAGAATTTTTAACCGATTGATAATATGATGTCAAGTATCTAAATAATACGCCATCATGTCACTTATATGATAACGTGAACATGAGAATGCTACAATCAGCGTCATTGTTCTGGTATGTTATCAACCCACACTAACGTTGACCATTGAAGTGTTTTGCAAATATGAATTGCTTTTTCATGAAAGGATAAATGGTCAGTGGACGTGTCATTTCTTCGTTGTTCCATCAAGTATGCATTAATTTATCTACTGCTGAATGTGCATGTACTGCTAATGGCACAACAAGTCATATGGTCACAAGGATCCTATAAAATGCCATCGAAGTGAAAATCTCCTAAGTTAACTGTCTAAGTTATTGCAAATCCGAGAAGTAATGGGTAGCGGTTTTCGTTTGAAATATTTACAGTGATGAACAGATTTATATCGAAGTAGATGTCGACGGGTATGAAGATCACCTAGGAAACAGAATGAATGTGAATGATAATCACGGGGATTGTTGGTCACAGACAAGTCAGTGAAGAACGTTGCATGTTGTTGTTGTTGTTGTCAGAATGCAGTTATCCGAAATAGGGTTTCCACTTTCTTGGCTATGTTGCACACTTAATTCGTGAAGGCTGAAGTAGGTGGAGTGAGATTTGAACGCAGAACTCATTGACTGAGTGTTTGAGCCAATGAACTCCATCTCAGAACTACATCAGAAAAGAAGCAGATCAATAGGTAGTATGATTTTAGAGTGCTTTTGGCACACAGCATAGTCCCACCAAGTTAGACAGTTATGTTTGAGTTTCTCGTTGCTGTTGGTGAGTTATCAGTCACCATGTTGACGTCCATTCTGACAGAGAACTAGCATAGAGCCGATCTCTTTTAGGAGGAGAATTCAGTCTGCACCAAACTGAAGGATGGGATGCATGACATGAGTTACTACCTAGTGTCCAATCAAAGTATCCATTACAGTCCTACTGGAGGTGATTCGTGGGGCTGACTAGCAGACTGAAAATGTCTCTGACTGCACCATTCAGTAGGTAACGTGGGTTGGAATCTCAGAAGGGACATGAATTCCTTGAGGATTTCAGATCCGCCTTGCTGACAAATGCCAAGGAGGACGAAGCCTAGGTCGAAGGCTTCCTGACGGCTGCCTCAAATCACTTCAGTTGAGATACAGACCTGGTGTTGTAAACTGTTAAGCTGAGCGTGTGGTGACTTTGCAGCTACTTGTTACCTGAGTGTCTAAGCATGGATTTATTATTTTTATACCTAATTGCAATCACTAGACTGTTCAAAAACAGAGAGAGTCGGAGACAGTTTTCCACTTTTTCCTGTAATAATGGCTTATTACAAAATTATCTATATTTCATTGTTGGCTGAATGTCAATGTGACGCCTCCAAGTGATAAAATATTTCACATTATGTTTCGTGCATGTCGATGTTTAGAAGTGAAGATCAAGTATTTTCTCCTTTCCTTTTCCCCCACCTTAATTTGAAGGTAAACTGAGCGAAATGCGATCCACAATCGTGAGTAATAACAATTTGGCCGACACTGTAGTCGAGCATCAACTATATGAATTTATTGACTCTGGGGTTTGTGATATAAAGCCGTGCATTGATGAGATACAAAGTATTCATCATCAAACCGATTCGATTTGTGAACGTATCGAGGTAAATTAAGAGATTTCTGCGTTGTTCATTACTACTAATTGTCTTGACTATATGTAGAGTTGTAGGCTAACCAAACAGTTGTGTAAATCAGGCTAAATGCGTTATGATGATCTATTATGGTAATGTTAATAATCGTCACTGCTAAAGACAATCGCCTGAATAAATGTCTTGTGTATTGTTAGGTGTTGGAAGCGAAAATGTGAAGACTATGTGTGTATTCGAAGCTATCTACTTATCTATCCTGCTCTGTGAGTGCAAGAGAAGATTATCAGCAAATAGCTCGGAAATATAATGCAGCATATTGAAATGGTGCTTTCATTTGACAGTCTGCATATATATTTATCAGCAGGCGTAATTTGTAGACAGAGCATGTGAAGAGCAGTTTCTCTGACTTGAACCACCAGTTTAGACTACCCTTAATTGTAGGTTTTGGTGAGCAATTTAGTCGGACGAGGGAGACGGCTGTTGTGTGATCGCGCCACAGGATGACACAGCATGCGCTGGTGTCACCTTGCAAGAGTCGGGGGTCGGTGTGCTCGGCTCTTCTGAAAACCAATGTGTGACTGCTGAGTCAGTGGGTGTGTATCACTATGTGTACTCTCATGGGTGATGCAATGGTAGAAAACTCGCTTGCCACACGGGCGGTGGTGGTTCTCTTCCCTACAGAAAAACCCACCTAAACCTTGCCTAGCTGGCAGAGTAAGGCCGGTAAAGAGGGAAGGTTTGTAGTGAGACGTAGAACAAGTTAATGTATCGGTGCTATGTTTTAGTCCGACCGTCTGTTCTTTTTCATGCTATTTCTGTTTCAGTTAACTTTTCCTGTGGAGGAAGTTGTTGTCTTGGTGTCGGTAACACATATGGTAACCATCTGTATCTGTGATGGCCAACAGCCGTTGTTGGTTAATTCTGTTGATTATTGTCATTGACTGAGTGGACTTCAACGAAGGGGTTTTGCACAGAATTTCAGCAGTTCAAGTTGTCACACACTATGTTGTACACAAACGCAGAACAAAGAGATTGAAAGGAACGATAGCGAGCAGAAATGTGTGGAAGAAAGAATAGTCACAGGCAAAAGCATGGCGATTTAGTGGTTGTGGTGGATCATAGAGAGGGAATGCATCTACGCCATTGAGAGTGATATCGACAACAGTCTGTAGTATTCGTTGGTTCTTAGTATCTATCCTTCATTATTGTTAACTACGTTGATCCGAGAGGCTAGAGCTGCACATCTCAACGAAGCAAAAGTTGGCTGAGCACAGAGGTATTGTAAGACACGGCTTTTCGAAAAACCTAGAAGGGACTTTTGTCAGTTTCGGAAGTGGCATGATTTTTCATAAAGGTATACCAAATCAAGAGTATGTGATTAGTGTAAAAGAGTGTGTGGAATTTATGTGGTTTTTTATCACGACATTAGTCTTGTACCAGTCAAATGAAGATATTGACGAAGTGTAAACCGATTAACCTTAGTGACAATTCACTTGACTGTCTGTGCATAGTGTGTAAATATTGAGTCTTACAATGTCAGTGAAGTCTGTATTCCATCATACTGCTTTTATTACTTTACTTCACTTTACTACATAGCTACTGATGAAGAAGGTTGTTGAGGGATTGAATGTCAAAATTTTGGCCGATGTATTTGAATCAATTCTCGGGGCGATTTTTGTGGATAGTAACGGGAATCATGCTGTGTTATCATCAATTATTTTACGATTCTTAGGCAGAAGTATTAGTGAGTTTTTCTTTTTGCATTAGTAGTAGTGTTGTTGTTGCTGTTGTCAGTTTTATTGTCTGTGAAGAAACCATTTCATTGCGTTTTGTTTTGTTTTTGTGATAGGAGAATCGTAGAATATGAATCTCGTAGTTATGTGCATGTATTAGGAAGAAGTAGAGTGAGATTATGTTTGTTGAGACATTGGCTAATGTAATGTATCAGTCGGAAGCGTGATCACAGTTGTTATATTTTCGTCAGGAAGAGTTAGAGATATGATTGAGAAGCAAGCAGCAGTGGAGGGTTGTTTCGTGCTATTTGGGATTCTTCTCGATAACCCCTGCAGGAATGAAACCTGGGTCCTCCAGGTTTCGAGACCAATGGGTTGAATGGTCAACGAGCTTGTTGTCATTTTGGTAACGTTAGGGTGGCGCCTTTGCCATCGGACGAAAATGAAATGTGGCCAACAATGTCAGAATCCCACCAATGTTTAGATAAACTATGATGGGACAGAGTTGTATATGTTAGCGCTACCCGAATAGCTCAAACTAACATTTATTGTTTTGCCAATGTATCACTATCAGAATATTTGTGAATTTACCTCAACTATTGAAATTATGGTTTTAGAAGTATTGCATACAGATCCAGCTTAATCTGTACACACAATTTGCGTATTGGCTGTTGGGGGATCACTAGTGATAAATAAGTGGTGTTACTCATGAGTCGTGGTCCTAGTTACATTCACTGACAATCGGAAGTAGTAGGTTGTGTACCCATAGAGGTGTTATGCGTTTGCAGCAGTTCAGAGAAACCATCGATATCTTTGCTTTTACATTTTCGTCAACGGGTGTTTGTTTATGAATGTGCAATAATATTCAGGTAGTTTTGAGTCATTGTAGGACATTGTCATTTCGGTGACATCAGTTTTACTAGATATCCTGTTGTATTGTAAAATATCCCTTGACTAGTTATCAAGGGAAAGAAAAGCTTCAGTGTACATCACAGTTAATTTAATGTCTCGTAAAGAAGAAACACCACTGTTACTGAAACTTTGAATTTCAGACTGGCAGACAGGTAGGCGTAGAGCCACCTGCTCGACTCAGAACACAAAGCTATAAAACGAGAATAATAATTGATCAACTTACATCAATAAGTAAACCGTTTTCTTTATTTTCACTGTCCGCTTTCAGATTATTGGATTGACAAACTACTGAAGAATCCAAATCAGCAACTTCATTCATCGCAGTACGTTTAGGAAGAGATGTTTTCAAAATTACATTAATAATTAATGCATTGCTTTATGTGTGTATATATGAATTGAAACAAGTTGTTCGTCTGTTGTGACGCTTACTAGTTTGTTCACCGAGTTGGTAATAATGCTACGTGTAATATTTCTGGTCATATAAATACTGCTTACCTGTCATATATTTATGGAGACAGAACTCATTCGCTGTCAGGTGTTGTGACTGTGATCTAACTAACTTCACGAAGAAGAAAAAAACATAACTAACCCTTACAAACTAAGCTACAGGAAATTAATCTGATGCTTGCTAGTGACTTGCTACAGGTTGGAGTTTCTTGAGTTCTAGTGAGGTCCAGTTGGATGTCACGTGTGTGGATGGATGACCCACCAACGACATTGGTTGGGGTCACGCTAAATCACGAATTGGTAGAAGTTAGAATTCACGAGCCATTGAATCGGGTCCCAGTGGCTGAATGGTATACGAGCTTGCCTTGTAACCGCAAGGTCCTGAGTTCGAATCCCACTGGGTGCGTACTGCTGATGATTCCCAAACTAGGATGAGACAGCAGTTGTCCAGTACTCCCTGGTTTTCAATGGTTCTCTAAATGATATCAATCCGTGATCAACTCGTAAAAATACCATTTTCCCAAATGCGGGTTTATTGTTCCGAAACTTTTGAAATTAGTAGTATTGTGTGTTAAGAATTAATTTTCCGGTGATTTTGTTCTCAGACTTTTGTGGTAAGAATGGCAAAACCTTAATTAATCTTCTGTCTACTTTTCAGGGACGGTACTGTTGCTCTCAGTTCACGGAATAGTCAGAAAAGGTATGTTTCGAAACATGCGAACCAATTTATTGTGTATTATTGAAGTATGTTATCTTTGTGATCAATGGTTCTGTTTATGGGAATTACAATGGTTGCACAAAAGATTTTGAGTGTGCGTCTCTAGTTGATGGAGTAACAAGTGTTGTCGAGAGAATGGATATTTCACTGGGAGGCTGTTAAAACAGCACTGAATTAGCATTATTAGTATTTTTAGTATTATTATTTTGCTATTAATATTATTATTATTATTACTACAGTTTTGTTCATATAGTTATGTAATAGTAATGATACAGTCAGTCCGTTCGATTTGTTCGAACAAGGGATGGACGATGATATTTGCAGGATGATACGACCTCATTTCATTCCATTGATTCTTGTCAACTGAATACAAGGTAGACGAAGATTGTGAATGTACTTTTCTCACAGTGGTGTCGAGTTATCGATTGAAAGTGCTGGAATAGCTAATTATTTATAGGTGAAACTAGACAAGAAGTGGGCTGAGGAAGTGAAGTGCGAACCTGATATAGACACAAGGATAGACTAGACAGACTAGAATGCATGCATGATCGAACAACAGAGTAAATTTATAGCTGATCTATTATGATATGAATTTCAATATGACGGAGTGGATATTAGAAGTGGAATCATGACTCAGGGAGCCAATTGAGTAAAACTGGAAACTCAATAGTGAATTCATCTGAGTAGTTGGTGGAAAGCGAAATTAGATTAAGTGTTGTTAAGAAACAGGACAAAAGAAAGAATAGTAATGGCAAAAAGAATGGTAATATCGAAGAACAATGTAGTTTTATTGGGTATTATAAGTCAGTGTAACTTCACAGTCTCGTCGATGATTTCCCCTCTTTACCTAGCACTCGACGGAGACCTAACCTCAACATTGCTCACCCTATTATACCACTTCACATGGAAGATAGAACACAGGCACCTATGATCAAAGACAGCTAATCTTTTCATGTCTTCCACTGTCAATGGCCAGGTCTCACAGGCATAGAGAAGAACGGAGCGGACTGATGCGCAGCACACAGTCCCTTTTGGTCGATAGCCAGCCGGATATCATGCCATAGCCAGAGACGGCGTAAGCCCTCCCTCTCGAGAATCTCATGGGTTATGCTATCACTCACTGAGAATCCAGGTACATTCAGTTGACGAGTCTAAAATAGAGAACCATTGGAAAACCTGGGAGTACTGGACAGCTGTTTCGTTTTAGTTTGGGACTCTTCATCAGTACGCAGGGATTTTACTGGCTACAGGTTTGATCCCGAGTTGACACCAGCTAGAGAACCATCGGAAAGTGCTGCAAATTCTTCTCGTATGGTGGATCAATGAGATGATGAACTCTCTTTTTCAACTGACAAGTATCGAATTATCACAGTTTGTGGGCAGGCCATCCCATGACGGTTACCTGTAGATAGGTCTTTTCGGTGTCCTATCACCTGTTCTTCTCAACTGTGCATCCAGAAATGGAATTATTGATTCATTTTGTAACTCCATTGTGAATTTAATTGAAGGATGGCAATTATTACAATTCCAATCGAAATCATTATGACAGACTTTAAGAGTGTCGTCGACCTACCTAGTGTACAGCAGTGATTTGTCTATCCTTCAGTCAAAAATAAAAACGATAACAATACAAATAGAGAGTTTATAAAGCTAAGATGTTCAATCATGCTAACCAATTAATTTGTAGGGGACTGTCTAGAGAGAGAGCTCAATAACATAACAAATATGCGAATAAAAATCCAAGTCAATGAGATGATAGTGTAACAATATATTATCAAGAAATGCAGTAATGAGTTATATTAGTAGAAAGGTTACTTGGATATACTGTTAAAGTTCACTGCTACAAATTATTAGTATAATCCACAGAAGTGTTCACTGTTTGAATCGTGTCTACTGGTAGAAACTGTGTGCCGGTTGTATAGTTGTCTTCGGATAAGGATAATAGATTCCTACAATAAATCCAAAGTATACAACACGGTATGAGTGGAGCAAGTAGACAGTAATGGCCAGTGAGAAGGCGAAGCTACCAACAATATAGTGTATTTCCGAATTGTACTCGGGAGTTATATAGATTTAAACATGCATCGTTTAAAAAATCATGTACAATGCCTCTAATTTCAACATCTGACGAAAAGTGTACAATCATATTGTTACGTACTCCACAAGCTGCTTGTTTTGCAGAGAGAGCCTTGTATGTTATGGGCGATTTGCAACGGCGTGTGATATTTTGAGTTTTCGAAATCTTGAGGTGTTTGGTAATTTATTCGATATCCGGTAGATGATAGAGAAGGATTATTTTAGTGTTAGCTTTGTGGCGTGTGTGCAGGGGGTGGTCCAATATAGAGCTGTTAACGGCCACTTCTGCTACTGCGGCATTCTATGAATCAGACATCAAAATATACTAGACAATATTACATGAACTGTGATCGAAATTCGACCTGAGACTCGAATATTAGTCTACTTTTTTAAACACCATAAGCAACATGTAGTTTTTCATCAGATTTTATTTTCATTCCTTTCGACTGAATTTCATGGTCATAGATAACTGCATGTGAGGAAATATGTATGTGTATATGCGGTATGCAATAGTGTGTGTGTGTGTGTGTGTTTATGGGGATACAATTGTAATTCATTTGTTAACCTCTCCATAAGAAGACATAGACAAACGGGAATTTAGATCAAGTGTGATTGATTAGTGATACATATTCATTTTTATTTATTAATCAGGACTTCCATGCATCAGCTAACATCACACTTTCACGTGTATTCACACTTTTGGAGTCCACTCATATATGTAGGGTTTCTGCGGTAAGTCTGTCTTCATACGAACCAAAAGCTTTCTGTAGGATCTTACTCCTATCAAAGTCGATCTTGTGTCCCATTTTCATCGAGTGCAGTGCAATCGCTGATCTGTTTTCCAGCTTCTTCAAGTCCTCAGCGGTCTTTGGAGCCACCTTTAGATGTTGTTTATTCCCTTTAACTCTTACATTTACCTATCTCGAAGATTCTCTTACATATACGGGGTCACAATCCCTACAATTGATCTGGTGCACACAGTTCATTTGGTTATCTTCTTCTCTTTTACCTTTAACCTTCACCAGCGATGAGCGTGTAAGGTGTTAGTTGCACGAAAATACACTCCTATGTCATGATCGTTGATGAATATTATCTCTCTCTCTCTCTTACTGATCCATTTGAGGTGTAGTGTGTGGATACTGCATTCATCATGTTGTTAATAACAATATTTCTTCGATGATTCCCGTCATATAAATGTCGGAATGAATATTCTTTATCTATTGAATCAGTCTTTCCAATTTTATTTTCTACGTGATTTGTTCAGAATTTCAATGTTTGTTGTTATTTGGTTGTTTCTGAATCTTCTGGCAAACATTTCTACTTATTTATTTATTTATGTTTGTGATAGAAATTCAAACAATACGGCATCGGATTCAAATGATGGAGATAATATTGAGTCAATTGCATGGACTTCTGGTAAACGTATCTGTGTCACTGGGAATATACGAAATGAAACCCGCCTTCATTTAGCTGAAACTTTGGCTATATCAGAGGAGAATAAAGAGAATGTCATGATTTCCGATGATTAACTATGCATGTCGTTATAGTAGTTGAGAGTGGATGGGGTGGATGATGAATTTCAACATTTTCTGCATTTTAACTGATTGACGCTTCGCTTGTTACCGTACCGATGAAGATTTTATTTTCTCTTATTTTTTGTACTAGTTATATCTTTATTTACTCTCGAAAGAGAATGAACAAATAAACATTTTGATTCAGTGAAGTGTTCACCTCTAGAATGTTGTCTTTATTTTAATTTAAGCGTTTAATGTATGCGCTATCTCAGTTATGGCTGACAGCTGGTGACTGAGTTTCAACATTGGATTGTGTACAGAAGTGCAAGAGTTTGGGTTGCCACAATCGATGGACTAGACAAAAGTAGAGGAAGTAAAGAACTATAATGTGGAGATATTTATTCGAGGAAGAATAGTAACATGGAAATAACATGAGGGATCAATAGATTTGGGAGATAACAGAGAGTGAATGCATCTGCGCCACTGAGAACGGTTTTCAGCCATATCTCCAGCCATTTGTTGCTATTGGTTCAAACCAACTGAGTCATTGTTTCTTTCCCACCATGTAGTTTAGATTTTTCAGGCATCCTACTTCATGCTTGAGGCAGAAATGAACTCAGTGCGTTAGACTTTATTCTAGAAATTACTTGAGGTTAATCCTAAGACATAGTCGAAGCATTCGTACTGGGAGTCGACTTGTCACGAAAGGCCAAACATTTCGGTCCGATGAATCAATGGGTCTGAGCCTCAGTGGGGACATCATCACTCACTGGGAACGCGAGTGCACCCGGTCAACGAGTCCGAAATAGGAGGGAATGGGCATCGTGGATTTCACCGCGCGTCACCCTCCACCAAATTACTTAGAGCTTATTGTACAAAAATTTGGCTGAATATCAGTTCGTTAGTGGATTTAGTAGCTTATCACAGAATGATGGTCACACTGTGCTCACTTCTGTATTAATTTGTATTAAAAGTGTAAGCATCTCTCAATGTATGGTGATTATTTATGTATGCATAGGACCAAATAGCTGTGTAGTACCCATGTGATTCATCCAAGTGTCACTCCATCCTCTGAAATATCAGCTTCGAAAATGTACGATGGGCTAACATTACGGTTAAATCTCGAAAGCGCTTGACATGCATTTAGTAAACGATTGAAGAGTATAAAATACTCTCGTAGCATGCATGAATTAAAAGTCAGTGTGAACGAAAAATTCTGGTTTCATTAAATTCACTCTGGAGACAGATACTTCGCAAAATAACACACTTGTCATCATTTCTAAGTCATTTTATGGCTGTAAAACGTGTTTGGTAAGTAGTTTGTACAAGGATGGGATACATGAAACGGACAATAGTGAGACTGTTGTGAATAGATCATCCTCGTCATCAAATAATGAATATGTGAAATGAATGAAGTGGAGTCATGCATTATCACTAACAATAATCAACCGGAATAGTTTCTCAGATTCTATATGTATAGGGAAATACAACAGTGCTTTAGGAACGATAGAATGAAGAGGGTAAGTTGTAAAACATTGAGACCAAATTAGTTTAAACAGTGGGAAATACTGGGGAGGCAATTTTAATCCAAGTCTGGTCATGATGGGGATGGCCTTGGGTTTCTCACTCTGAACACAGAGTTCTGACTTAGTTTTATCTTAAGTCAACAGGTTTAGGTATGTATAGAAGAGTAGGCGTACTGTATGTGGTAATGACTGCCAGGTTTGACGAATAATCCTAAAGAATGCGTTAACGCTAATCCGATGTCATGTATCTGCAGAGTGTGATGGAATTGAACTTTCTATGCATCTGATTTCACCCTGTCTATATTAGGCTGGTGAATGTTCTCAGATCTGTAGATGAATGTCATGATGAACTGTTCACCTCAGTCTTAGCATTGTTTTGTCCAGTCGCTCGGCTAACATGTTTGCAATATCCAGAGAAACCTGTAAAAGGCAACAGAGGTTATAATATTGGCAGTGGTGAAGAGAAAGCCATTATTTTTACGTCTACAATTCGAGGGAGATGCTCCTAAAGAGATTCTACCCGAATGTCTAACCAGAATGATAAAGAATACTTCGTAGTTCGGAGATCTCTTCGTATCATTCAGTGACCGTCTAATGTTCATCCGGAAAGTAAAAGTCGTCCTACCTAATAATAAGTCATCCTCCTAATGTATTTTCCGTCTCAACCATTTTTGTGGTTCAAGTTGTATGAGGCGGACGAGGGTGTGTGTTTGTCTACGAATTGAAGAGCACGCATCAGGCTACCACAGAAAGGCTGCAATCATATGCATAAAATGTTCACTCCTATCACATTTGGTGGATACAGGATCTCGCACTGGCGCAAACACGGTTTTCAGGGTTATATGTCACATTCCGAAGTCAATACCACGCACAGTTCGTCAACAACTAACTAATCAAGAGAAGGGATGGGCAAAATTACGAAGCTGTAGAGTCCTTAACTAGGTGGAAACAGGTGTCCAGTACTCCCAGGTTTTCCAATGGTTCTGTAGCTAATGTCACTTCATGATGGAATCCTGTAACCAATCAAATTCCTAAAAACCAACACTAGAATTTTCATGGCTGAATTCTTTGTTTTATTTGAAAATAGTAAACATTCCCATGGTAGAATTTAAAAGAACATAAGTAAGCGAAAAATACTGTCTTTAATTCGATGTCACCACAGAACTTTACAAATAAATATTCAGTGTCAACCAGTCATGGTGATTTGTCAATATTGTGATAAGACTGTGCAATCAGTTATGACGAATTTCACACCATGTTATGTAATGTTCTATATTAGCTTACTAACCCTGTAATTACATATCCCCTTCCAACATATATACATCCTATGAATTATTCTCTACATGACATTAATTGTTTTGCCAATTGACTCTCAATATTTAACTATGTTTATAATCACAAACAATTTTATTGCATCTCATACTACTATTATTTTATGTAGTCACACCATTGCTTAAATGTCCAAAGAGGATATAACTTCTTAGTAAAAATCGCCGTATGTATGTACGACTAAACAGCTTGATAATAAATTCGTCCAGAAGAGTCTCCTCGCTGAATACTGTATTCTCAAACTTACAATGACAATTACCAAATTACATCGCCAGAATGGTATTAATTCTTCTCAAGAGTTGATTTGTAAGGATCAGATTTGTTTTTCGAGTTTGGCGACCCACTGGGGTTAGAAACCAGGACCTTCCAGTTGTAAGGCAAGCGAAGGCTTCCCACGACGATGCCCGGGAGGTTTAAGGTGAGGCGGTCGTATGCGTGTTCGACAACCCCACAGATAGACAAGGGGAACTGCAGAAGCTCCGGACTCTGAGACGTGGTCGGGACGGGGATCCGTTGGTCGTCGCAGTGACGCTAACAAATCTCCTGCGACGTGCATTACTCCTCTTGGACGAAGGTTCGCGAGAGCAGTCGCTAGCTTCCCAGTTATTCGAATGCATCGCGACGGATACCACTCATCAGTTGCAGCTAGTTAACGCAGCTCAGCTAATAAATGTTCACGAAATGGCAAAAGTCACAAGGCAACTGATGACTTCGGATGTTGCTCCAGTGATGACGGAGTGCCAAGAAGATTGAAGAGTTGAAACAGGAACTCGACTGTGTTTGGGGGTTGTGGGATTGGTTGAAAGAGGTGCTGTGTACTGACCATTACGGATTAATGGGAGAGAACTAGTCTGTTTGATCGACACAAGGGCATCAATTTCTTTGATAGGTAGAGAACAGTGTGAGGAAGTAAGGGCTTGTACATTAGTGGTTCAGACGGTAGGGGGACATTCTTTACAAATTTTCGGTGTTTCAGACTGCGTGGTAGAGATCGGAGCAAGGAAAATACGATATCCGTTGATTGTTACGTCAGATATACGGCGAACGATCTCGGGGGCGGACTTTCTCAGAGAAGTAGACGCTGTAGTCGATATGAAGAATAGGAGAGTTGTCACAAACCATGGGCAATTTTCGACACATGAGAACAGTGAAGTCGCTGAGGTAGAAACCACAATGATTGTTCCGAAAAAAGCACCAAATCTAACCAAGTTGGTGAATAAATATACCTGATTATTCACTGGAGATGAAGGACCCTATGAATATTGTGATGAGGTAAAGCATGACATCCCACTGAAGGGTATAGGGAAGACAGCCTTCTCAGCACGACGAGTTTTTGTGCACCTAGAAGAAGAAGAAGAAGAACTCAACCGACAAGTCGGAGAAATGCTAAGTGACAGAATAATCGAAGAAGTCGACAGTTCGCCGGTCTTTTTGGTAAAGAAAGCTAACGGAAAGTATGGATTCTGTGTCGATTTCAGACAGTTGAATAGCCTCATCGAAGTAAAACTGTGTGCAATACCAACCGTAACAGAAACCCTTGGTCACCCTCAGGAAGCCAAGTTATTCACCGTCTTCGACCTACGATCAGGTTATTGGCAGATCCCAAAAACAGAAAGTGGCCGAAGTAAAACAGTGTTCACGGTTGGACAGAAACAATACCAGTTTAGACGAACGCCATTTGGATTGATAGGCGCTCCATTTACGTCCACAAGATTGATGAACTTATTACTGAAGGGTCTGAAGAAAGTAGAAGTATATGCAGACGACTTGCTTGTGTATAGGGAGAGGAAAAGTGATCATTTAGATCACATCGAAGCCTTCTTAAAGAGAATTGATGAATTTGGACTGAGTATTAATAATAAAAAGTCCCAATTAGCCAAAATCATTGTAGTCCTCGTGGGTTATAGAGGAGGAAATGGACAAATACGACCATTACCTGAGAAAATCATGACTGTCAAAACCAATGAAGTACCAAATTCGAAAGGAAAGCTGAGACAGTTTCTGGAAAGAGCGATATTCCATCGCCAGTTTGTCAAAAGTTCCATCGAGATAGCGACGCCCCTATATAGGATGCTGAGTAACGCGAAATTCACGTGGATGGCGAAGGCACAGCAAACGTCAAAACTGGATATAACTTCTTAGTAAAAACCGCCGTATGTATATACGACTAAACAGCTTGATAATAAATTCGTCCAGAAGAGTCTCCTCGCTGAATACTGTATTCTCAAACTTACAATGACAATTACCAAATTACATCGCCAGAATGGTATTAATTCTTCTCAAGAGTTGATTTGTAAGGATCAGATTTGTTTTTCGAGTTTGGCGATCCACTGGGGTTAGAAACCAGGATCTTC